GAATTTGACCAAAAAGTCATTTTATGTTTTTCGATGTCCTAAGTCCAAATCCGAAGTCCGTTTTGCCAAATTCAAACTCGATAAGCTATTTTTCAACATGTTATATTCTGATTCCATACGATTTTTCATGTTTAAGTTATGTTTATAATATAACTGGTTTTGCCATGTATCCGAGACATTATGGGATGTGGAATTAAATTTTGAGGGAGATCAAATGGAGTTTAATTGGTTAACCATTATGGCTAAAAATTGAGGTAATATATTACTACCTTATGTATGCTTTATGAAACATGTTGGCATTGGTTAATGCATAGATGAATATGTTTGATTACATGTGAGTAATTAATATATTTCTAAACTCATTCTAAATGCAATGAAAAGTAATTAAACTGAATAAGACTTAGATTACACGTATACGACACTAGAAAACTGATAAGAAATAATTACAGGTTCAGTGATTAACTGATAAAGCAATCAACCTCAGAATCGTTAAATTCTAATTATTTTTGTTAAAAGTTTTAATATCGAAATCACCTAGTTTAGAAATTATGAAATTACCCCTATAAGGAAAAATGGTTCGAACTGACCCTGATAGTGAAAGTACCCTGAAATTTTGTATTTAATCCGACAAATTACTGATTCACCTGTTAAATTCTTGATATGTTCGGAAAGTCGCTGATAATCAGATCCTAACATCTGAGAAGGTACAAGACCTAGAATTATTGATTTATCAACAATCAACTAAATACTAAAACATCCAGAGCATTATTTATGTTTGAATTGTTCAGAAAATTGAATTATATGGAAAGACTGGATTGAAGGAAATGACCAAAATACCCTTGAAGTGTAAAATGACCCAAAGTACCTTCAAGCCCTGGAATGACTATATTATATGACAAAGTTGAACTGAATGGAAGTATTGTATGTATTCGAATCTTTGAAACGATTGAATTACTCTGGAAACTCTGAAATGACCGGGCTAAACTTGAATACTAAATGACCTAAGTATCCTCTATGTCCTATAATTAAGTGGATGACTTGGATAAGTCTGGAAACGCTGATGAACTTATACTTTGTACTGTCCATAAGGGTTAATAACCCCGAATCAAATACCTCAACATTTCTTGATACTGTTGTAATACAAAAATGAAATAAATACCATTGGACTACTTGTTCGTCTCCCTAAGATCCATTCAACGATGATTTTGAAGGTGATCAGTTCAACTAGAGCAATCAGTATTAAGAAGTGAATAATGGTGAAATACCTCAGTCTAAATGATTGGCAAGTATCGCAATGTTGGGATTTGTTAGTTTAATTTGGCTCAAAATCCTAATAATTTGATATAAATCCTAAATACTATAAATTGTTGTTTTACTCTCATTGGGTTAAATTACTAAGAATTCTTCAAGAAAACAAATTGTCTAAAATGCCTCTGAATTTTCTGAATAATGGAATTACTCATGCCATATATGAATCCTCAAGTAACTCTGATGTAAAAGATTCTGAATATCTTCCTGATTACTTAGTGCCTCTGAAAAATATCTGAAAATTATATGATCTTGATAAATCACTTCCAGAATGGCTGATGAATCTGTTAGCTATCAAACCCCCTTTTATAGGGATCTCATTCTAAAATTCAATCAGTTGCTGACATTGCGTGTCCCCCTACCTGATAAATACCAAGTAGCCCCGAAAAATAACTAGATCCTCTAGTGTGTTCCCTATGTGATATATGATCATTTTATTTGTCATGAAATGTGATCTACTGAAGTTACTATTTTATTAAACCTTTTAACTATTCGATATTTTGAATTACTGATGCATTGATTTACTATTTATGAACTATGACTACTTGATATGTTCTCTCTGGTTACCTATTTTCATTGGAAAATATAATCGTTCCTGATTAATGGATCATGGAATCTACTATTTACATATGAACCGGTTATTGGGTATTATCTGGGTAGGCTGGAGTATGGAGGTTTAGCTCTGATCAAGCTAGTAATTCCTTACGAACCTAAAGTGACCCTTGAGTACGCTCTTAGGCCCCAAGGCACTCCTTTAGTATGGGGACATCATTTTGGTGTACGGATAGAGGGCATTTATGTGATTTAAATAACTACATTGTCATTTTTTTACAACATTCTATTGGATCATGATATTGATATTAAAGGTATTACTCAATCTGATTTCTACTGGATAATGTATGGTAAGAGTCTGGAGTATAGAGGTTCATCTCTGATAAAGTTGGTACTTCCTTACTGACCTAAGGTATTCCTTGGGTAGGCCCATAGGCCCCAAGGTGCTCTCTTAGGGTGGTTCCTTTGTTATGTGCTTAGGGTAAGTTCTTATGGATACAGTTCTGGGGAAACTGTATATCGGTGTTTGGTTGGAGGGTATTACTATGGCTTATAAAGTATGTATTAAATTATTAATGTTTTTAAAGGATCTGTACACATTTCTCTATTTTGTGGGAACACATTAGATCCCCAATTTAATCTTCTGAATCTGTCTCTTTAAACACTGATTCAGACTATAAATTCATGTTTATAACTAAGACTTAGCTAATGGAATCTGAAGTCACCACTAGCATCTGATGATGATTGTCCCGCTAAGGAAGTTATGCTTTACCTTATACCCGATGACCAATGCAGCTATCAACTGCAGTTTTGGGTGTTCCTTCGACTTTTCTTGCTAAGTATGGTACAATGTGTAATTAGGGGTTGATTTTTTTATATACTAAGTCTGAAACATATATGATTTAATTATGTTTGTAATATATGAATGGTTTCCTGAACTTGTATTTTATTTATAAATTGTTTTATGATTTTACATGTTTTAACAAAAACTTTAACTTTTCCTGGATTTTTATTGTGGGTCGCTCTGGTGGCCCTAATGTGACACCTCGAATCGGATCGGGTTACCCGCATCGGTAAGAGGGTGTTACACTTTTTCATTCCAAATTTATAGCCCAATGTATATCTAAAGAGAATGCAAGGTACATAAGTCACTCGAGTGTGAGCATATGCACCAGTAAGTGCCCATATATCAATAATAGTAATTCGCACTCGAAAGTGCCCATATCAATCTGCACTGTAAGTTCTACATGTGAAGTACACGAATGTACTATATCAAAAACACTAAACAATGATCACTTCACCTCATGGCATGCCAATTGTAGCTATAACTCTCCATTCAATATACAATATGCTTTATAATAAAATCATATCATTTATATAGCCATCATACCCATATCAGTAACATTTCCAAATATCATTTATAAAAAATCAATATGTTGGACAGTTCATACCCTAAATAAAGAATAAATCATTTTAGTAAACATTATGGAAATATTCCATAATTTTAATTCAAACATTTCTTTAAAAATCATCCAAGGTTGACTTATCGCAAGTCTTCCTCAATCAATATAACTAAATAAATAAAATGCACTCACTTTTGCCTCACTATCGAACCTTTACAACGATATTCTTTTTAATCACGTACTTGATCCTTTGCCTTTAATTCGATTTGATTTGATCACAAGATTTATTGGAGTTTAGATAACATCATGTACACAACATAGTATTCAAAGTATATGTTAGTATTATACTAACATAATCAAAATCCAATTATAAAATCCATAAAATATAATTCGATACTTATTTGATATAAAATCACTTCATTGCTCAATAGCAACTTCAACATTTCCAATATAACACTTCAATTCCTTATATTTTCATATTCATCATCAAGCCACTCAATTTCATAAATCTTACAACTTAGTCACCATTTATGAAATCTTTTAGAATTTATACCAACTTTTCCAATTAATTCAAAATGGTCCTTCACCATTTTATTCAATTCAAATCCAATACTAAAATTTCCAGCATTGAAATAATATTTTCAATCTAATACATTCTCACTTGCAAACTTGAAATTCAATCACCAAACTTTCCAACATATTCAAATTATCCACCAATCCATACCATATTTTGCAATTTGATCCAAAACAATATTCTAACTTCAAATTCAACATTTAAATAACAATTTCCAATATTGATCACTCAAAATTGAACAATTACACATCAATGTCTCATAATTTCCTAAACTTACAAAATAGTCCATTTACTATCACAATGTTCCAAAATGATCCAAATAAACTTCTAAAGCATGTAGAATCGTTCCAATATCAAATATAAACCATAGGAAAAAATTTAAATATTTCCTCTATTTTAACCCGTTGGACGAACCTAATTAGAAAAATATGACAAGAATTTCATTCAATTTCAAGCATGAATTCAACCTCATATGATCAAATTCATACAATTCTAATAATCCTAACATCAAATTCAATCAAAATTTAACCAATTCCTTAAAAACCCGTTGGAAAAGGCAAACGTGCAGCTTTCAACTTTATCAGAGATAAGACCGAGAAGAGGATTCAAGGATGGACCAAGCGACTCCTCTCCTTTGGAAGACGAGAAGTTTTCATTAAATCGGTAGTTCAAGCTCTTCCAGCCTATGCAATGTCTTGTTATCTTCTCCCGGAGGATGTTATCGAGGATATTAAGTCCCAAGCGCGATCTTATTGGTGGTCGGGGAAACAGAATGCTAGAGGATGGGCTATGGTGGCTTGGGACAAGGTTTGCCGGTCCAAGAAATTTGGAGGGATGGGATTTAGAGATCTTAAATTGTTTAATTTTGCGCTCCTTGGAAATCAGATATGGAGACTGATACAAGATGATAATTCTTTGGCGTTTAAGGTCCTTAAAGCTAAATACTTCCCTAACACTTCTTTTTTGAGGCGAAAATTGGTGAAAGACATTTCTATGCGTGGGCGAGCATTGTGAAGGCCAAAGAGGCACTTAGGGATGGCTTTTTCTGGAGAGTGGGAATTGATAGTAATGCTTATATGTTCAAAGACAAGTGGGGGGACTCTAAGCCTATTTCCTGGACGGAAAGGTACGTGGATAATTCTGAACATCCGGTTGAAGTGGGCTTAGAGTCCAGGAAATAGGCTTAGAATCATGAATTCCCCCACTCCAACCGGATGTTCAGAATTATCCACGTACCTTTCCGTCCAGGAAATAGGCTTAGAGTCCCCCCACTTGTCTTTGAACATAGAAGCATTACTATCAATTCCCACTCTCCAGAAAAAGCCATCCCTAAGTGCCTCTTTGGCCTTCACAATGCTCGCCCACGCATAGGAATGTCTTTCACCAATTTTCGCCTCAAAAAATGAAGTGTTAGGGAAGTATTTAGCTTTAAGGACTTTAAACGCCAAAGAATTATCATCTTGTATCAGTCTCCATATCTGATTTCCAAGGAGCACAAAATTAAACAATTTAAGATCTCTAAATCCCATCCCTCCAAATTTCTTGGACCGGTAAACCTTGTCCCAAGCCACCATAGCCCATCCTCTAGCATTCTGTTTCCCCGAACACTAATAAGATCGTGCTTGGGACTTAATATCCTCGATAACACCCTCCGGAAGAAGATAACAAGACATTACATAGGCTGGAAGAGCTTGAACCACCGATTTAATAAAAACTTCTCGTCCTCCAAAGGAGATGAGTCGCTTGGTCCATCCTTGAATCCTCTTCTCGGTCTTATCTCTGATAAAGTTGAAAGCTGCACGTTTTCCTTTTCCAACTGCGAGCGGCAATCCAAGATAATTCCCCAGGTTCGAGGCCTCAACAATGCCTAACTCACTCAAGAAGTTCAATCTATCCCAAGCATGAGTATTAGGACTAAAGTAAATCCTTGATTTCTCAAAATTCACTTTTTGTCCTGAGGCCTTCTCATATTGGTTCAGAATGCTCTTAACTTTGCACACCTCCACCATCGAATTCTTGACAAACAAGAGGCTATCATCGGCATACAACAAGTGAGAAATCCGTGGCCCTCTCATGGTCGCTCTAATTCTTTTAATCTCATTCCTCCTTTGAGCCTTAAGAAATAATGCAGAGAGTCCCTGAGCGCAAAACAAGAACAAATATGAAGATAAAGAATCTCCTTGTCGTAGACCCCTCTTTGGAATAAAAGGGTCAAAAAGCACTCCATTAATGCGAACTTGAAAAGTGACCGACGAGATACACTTCCGAACAAGGTTTACAAAAGGACAACCAAAACCCATACGCATCATAACATCCAACAAAAAACCCCATTCCACTCTATCATACGCTTTCTCCATATCAAGTTTAATAGCAGCTCCCTTATTAGGACCATTTTTAGAACCCTTAAGATAATGGAAAATTTCATGAGCTACTAAAAAATTGTCAGAGATACGTCTACCGGGGACAAAAGCGCATTGATTTTCAGCAATACATGCATGCATCAACGGTTTAAGGCGATTAACAATTACTTTTGACACGACTTTATAGATGACCGAGCATAAGCTAATCGGTCTAAATTGCTTCATTAAAGTAGGGCTATTAACCTTTGGAATAAGGACAATAATGGTACGATTAACAAAATTAAAATCCATCGTACCATTCAAGAGACTAAGACAAAGATTAACAAAGTCACAACCAACAATATTCCAAAAAGAACGAAAGAAATGACCTGAAAGTCCATCGAAACCAGGAGCTTTCGAAGGATTAATTTGAGAAAAGGCATTGGTGACCTCCTCTGCGGAGAACTCTCGGCAAAGCAACTCATTATCACTCGGAGAGACGCATCGATCAATGGCTTGGAGAATCTCCTCATCCGGAGCCGCTTCGGAAGAGCAAAAGAGAGAGGAAAAGTATCTCGTAGCAACATCAAACATGTCCTCCAACTTATCACACCAACCCCCCATCCCTCTGCAACCCCTCAATCCAGTTCTTTTTACGGCGCCTATTTGCTCTAGCATGGAAAAACGAAGAATTACGATCCCCATCCTTAAGCCACGCAACACGGGATCTCTGAAGCCAATAGTTTTCATCTTTATCCATAATCTCCTTAAGATCCACCAAAGCTTTGCGTCGAAGCTCACAAGACATATCCATGACCGATCCCGAATCAAGCCGAAGTAAATAACTCCTTAACCTCCTCTCTTCCCTCTTAGCTTGACCCCTTCTCGATCTTTGCCAATCACCAAGAGAAATGCCAATTTCCCCCACCTTAGCCGAGAAAGAATCATCTTCCTTCTCCCAAATCCGTTTCATAATTTCTCTACATTGCTCTTCATTAGCCCAACAAGAGTCAAATTTGAAATAATCCCTCCTAGGCGCGCAACTCCTGGCATCACCTTCTAACTTCAAGAGGATTGCGGAGTGATCTGACAGAGCCATCGGGATCGTTTCAACGGAGCAGTCCGGAAACAGAAGCCTCCAATCATTTTTCGCCATAAATCTGTCAATTCTCTCACACACATAAGTCTTTGCTCAAGTACCACTTGCCCAAGTGAACCACCCAACTTTTGGCCGAATATCCCACAGATCAGCTCCTCGAAGGCAATGAAAGAACTCTTCCATGTGACCTCTAACCGGTTTCTGCCCTCCTCTTTTCTCATCCAAATGGATAATTTCGTTAAAATCCCCTCCCACGCACCAAGGGAGTAAAGAAGTCAAAGCCAAATGAGAAATCATTAACCAGTTGTGCTTTTTATCCGTCCAAGAACTTCGCCCATAAAACCATGTGAAACGGAATTTTTGCCCCATCCCTGACACTTCCACATCAATATGTAAATTGGAGTAACTCAGCAACGAGACATCAATCCCTTCTTTCCATAGCATCAATAAGCCCACACTACCCTCCGCTCTTTCCACATCAAAACACCCACACTTCACCCATAGACCTCCGATATGTGAGCATGTAAAATTTTTGTTCTTAAATATATTGTATGAATCAATTTAGCTTCTATCCAACGATCCATACCCAAATTGCTTAAATATTTGTTTAATATCCTAAAATCATACACTATGTCTGAATGCGTATAAACATGATTATACATTAAATTCTTTATTTATTTTGAAGCATAATGAACCTTTTACATTTCCTTAGTTTCAAAATAATCCTTAGGGCACTGATCAAGACTAAACCTGGTTCCTTTAGCAATAAGGGGTATTATTTGGTTTCCTCCCATTGAATTTATAATATATACAGTTATCAACCAAATTCATCTCAAAACCAAAAGAGATAATCACTTGGTGAAGTTTGTTATACAATTAACGGGAGTAATACTTGAACTTATAAATGGATTTCCTTAATTTGCATATTATTAATTTTGTATCATTAGATACAATTTTATAATTGCACCGGAAAATATTTCATCAATGTTACCATTGAGAAACACAATTTTGAAATCCAACTTATGTAACTCAAAATCAAATATGAGCAACAAGTATCATAATTATCTTGAAAGAGTCTTTTAATGAAACCAAAGAGAAAGTATCTACATAATTAATGTCTCATTTCTGAGTTTATCATTTATATACAAGACATTTATTATACTTATCAACATCACCATTTGTATCCATCTTGATAATAAATACTCATTTATAACCAATTAACTTTCCACCTTCAAGTAATGGGATAAGTCCTCAAACTTTATTATCTTGTATAAAATTTATACTCTTCGTACTTTAATCCACTTTTGAGAGTCATAACTTTTATGACATGATGAAAGTTGATTAAATAATCTTTCATCATTCTACTGTTATCCTTATTTCTTGTAGAAACTTAATAATCTAAAATAATAATTCACTCATCTCGTGGATCTTGCTCATGACATTTGTTCTTTGAGATTGTTAAGTTTGATCTTTTGTAACAATTTCTATTCTTAATTGGAGAATTGTTCAAAATAATCTTATTGAGATTCTAAACTCATTTTTTTACTAACGACATGTATGAACACATGGATATCATCAAAAGTGATAATAGGAATTGAGTTATAATCCAATGCCTCCTCAAAATTAATTTCTTAAACCTTATTTCTTCCTCCAAACTCAATATCCTAAAAGATAGTGTCATAGATCTCGCTTTTAAAAATATTTTTATTTATGAGATCATAAAACTTATAACCCTTGGACCACTCAAAATAATCAAAGTAGTTGTTTACTGTTTTAGAATTTAATTGCTCCTCATATGTCCCAACTTAACTTAAAATAGAACAACCCTTTGTAACATATTGTTGTCTCTTTTAAGTTGGACCCTTAACAACTACATTTTGATTTTTTTTTTCTCTTATATTTATATGCACTTTTCAAGTAAGTACTTTTAGATTTATTATACTTCAACATTTATTCCTATTACAATGAAAAATGAGTTCATTTAAAGTTCATTTCTCCCTTTGAGTTGATTTAACTTTATAAGAAGCGATACTGAAATCACAAGAACAAATAATTTTTCAGAAAAACTCAATCTTAAGTGTCTTAAGCTTGAAGCAATATAAAACATATTCATAATGTACTCCCTCACATTTCCTTGACCCTTATACTTTATAGACATCAAAGAAGTCAAAAGTGATATCATTTAAACCTTATTATTTTTGTAAAAATATTTCTAAATTTCGTCAAGGAAACCATTAGCCTTAGTAATCTTTTCAGATTATGTGCCCCTAAAGTCTTCTAAAATGTTGTGCTTCATGAACACTAGACTTATACAATTTAAAAAAAAATTTCCCCTCTAAAAATCTCTTATACCAATTAAGAATGTTATCCCCATGAGAGGTGGAAATTGTTCTTTCCTTAGCACAAAGTCTATGTTCATACAACCAAAACCTTATGTAAGTTCATTTTCGATTCCTTCATATTCACTTTCCTAAGTGTATTTTTCCATAGAGTAAATATTGTGGTAGTAATAAATAAATAAATAATTTGAATATAGAACAAAATATAAATAAAACTGAAGCTCACATCTTAAGTAAACAAATAAATTCAACATTATGGCTAATTCTCATCACAAGATACCACACACTATATCAATATCAAGTCTTTGGATAATAAAATTAGCAGTAAATAGTACTCTTGTTGTAGTAATCAAACATTGTCAATAAACTATGTCGAACAAAAGACTAATCTTTGGACTAATGTAATGCTCACACAAAATAAATACATTATAATTGTCACATGTTATTACCACATGTGTCGCTTGAAGTCCGGCCAAATATTAACTTTCATTTGGGCCAATTAATAAACGCATGAGTCACAAGAAACACATAATTATCTTGATATTTCAAATAAATCAGTCTACACAAAAGAGGCAACTTTGGTGATATTATGTTTCAACTAGTCTATCAAAATATCAGACATAACCATACTATGAATTAATTAGTTTAAAAAATATATATATTTTATTAACCAACAATCAAAACTGAAAAACCGAATTGAATATAGACATATATTGTATTAACAATATAAATAAAATCATAAAAATATTATCAACCAATCAATTTCTCTTAATTTATCTTTTAATTAAGTTAAAAGATGACTAAAATAATAATAAATTTGAATACACTTAAACCTTATCTCAAGATATCAAATACTCCATTCATATTTCATTTTTAGACAAAATATTCACCTTAAGTGATATCTGATGCGGTAACCAAACACTGATAATAAGAACATGTTAAACAAAAATCTTCCTTTGGGTCGATTTATTACTCACACATCAAACCGAAAATTTTATCACATGCTTATTACCAAAGTTGTACATGCAATTATGTCAACTATTAATCTTCCTTTGGGTCGATCAATACTAACATATCTTAAGTTACATGTATATAACATGTATAAAATATTTTCCATAACTGAGACTACTTTAATGAATTATTGCTTTAATTAAGTCGTCTTAAAATAAATATCAGTATTTAAATTCTATAACAATCAAAGGTTAAACCTGAAATTTCTGATTGTACTACAATATCCGAAACAACCCATAATAAGGTTACATAAAAAGTGCTATCAGAAATCAAAAACTTAAGTCTTTGATTGTTTCTAAAGAATTCCTTCAACATGCTTTTAATTCATATCTTCATAAATTACTAAAAAAATAAACCTAATTCAAATCAACATTTAACCAAAAGTCAAGGTCAAAGTACATACTAGTGAATTAAAACTTTTCCAAAGATTAAAAAAATATTTTTTTAATCAAATTGAATCGAATATATCAATATCGAATATATTCTATAGTCCATGACAGTAAAAAAACAAAACTAAATTTTCTAATCACGTTGTAGTTTCTGAAGTAACCTATAAGAAGGTTATCTATATGACGTATTAGAAACCGGAAACCTAAATCTTTGACTATTTCTCAAGAATTTCTTAATCATTAATTTATCTTACTAAACCAAAACATGTTTTAACTTAATTTTGAGTGTATATTTTTCCTCTTTCAACATCCAATTGTTGATTCCTCTAATATCCATAATTGACGATTTTAAATCCCCAAATAAATGATGATGAAAACAACAAGACGTAGTATATTATATAGCATCAAAAATATTATTGGAGGAAACTGTAATCACCATTTTTTTCCAGCCATGCCCTGCACACCGACTCGCCAACAGCAGCCCATGCCCTGCCATCTCGCGCTGCTCACCCTGCCATCATCTTCAACATGCCAGCAACCATGCCACCCCCAACTACTCCCCACCAAATCAACAACAATTTTTTTTTAAATTTTTCACATGTAATATAAACCTTAAAAATCAGAATATCAAGGGGGGATGATCATAATGTCAAGGGGGAATGATCTTTCTTTTCTCTCGAGAAGAAAAAAGAGTTGTAAAAGGGATTTTTTCCCTATTCGACATTACGAAGAGCAATATACTAAAAAAGGATTTTCAAAGGTATCATATTTTAATTTCATAGGGCTTTTTTTGAAACAAAAATAAGCGTGAGCGAGAAGAAGGTTTACCTTCTTCGGTCATTTGAGAACTAGTCGATGGCGTTAGGAGATTGTCGTTTTTGATGGCTGACGTTTGGCCGACAAAGAAGAGGGCTTGTTTTTTTAGAAAGCTGGCGCCTATTTAGGAGTTTAAAATGGGAGATGGGCTTCCTTTGGTCGAAAAGACTTTCTCGTGGCCTTCACAGGGAGCTTTCAATGGTGTTTGGAGCGAGTAGGGCCACCAAAACATGGTGGCCGACCGATTAGGCATTGGGTCTTGTTTGGGATGGAGTCGCAGGCATGGAAAAGTGAGAGAGAGGAGAGCTGTGTTTTCTTTTTGTTTTAGTTTAGGTTAGTTTTAGGTTTTTTAGATTAATAAATTAAGTTATGTTAGGAAGTTTTTGGATTATTCACATGTAAATCCTCCCAATTTTGGCATGATCTTACATTTTATTCATAAAGTTTATGGGCAAATTGCTCTTTAGTCCCTCTAGGTTTGCCCTTTTTACATCATATTCAG